GCACTACTTTAAAGGACATCTACACAGACGAATTCCTTAGGGTAGGTAGGTTCTCAAGGATACTTGCTCTAATTTCAAACAAATCAAAAACATCTTTTCACAAACACATTTTCAAAAGCTTTCAAAACAAACTTTTCAAACACTCTGACGTATGAGTCGAACTGAAATTTTTCAAAGAAACTTTTTAAACCCACATTGAAAAGCAAACAAACAATTTTGAAAACACATTGAGCAAGTATCTAAGAGCCCATGGATAACCATGGATAGAAAGGGTGCTAACACCTTCCCTTTCTATAACCTACCTCCCGAACCGAGAGCAATCTCTTTAAGGAATTTTTCTGTGCTTTTGTCCTTTCCATTTGGAGAAAATAAAAGACGGTGGCGACTCTTGCTTCCGCGACATTTCGCGAACCAGCGTTAAACAGTCAGTTCCAGATCCACCGATCACAAGGAGCATATTATTATTGTCGAGTTGCACGAAGTTGCAGGTTGTGTCGAGGAGCGCAAATTAGTTGTTATTCTGTCTTGGTTGATGTGCATTTCAAGGGGTATGTAGTTCTTCCCTATCCCTATCGCCCGTGCATGCTGTTTTGGTCGATACCAGTGTTGTGTAAGTTGTTCTTAGTTGAGAAATTGCAGATTGAAGATTTATGTTGAGATGCCTCTAATTATGGGCAGATATTAAGTTGTAGGCTTATGGCCAATATTGAATTAAGTTGAATTATTGTTATTGTTCTTATTATTACGTTCATGTTATTAATTCATACAAAGTATATCATGTTAGAGCTAATGCTCGTTAAGTTGGCCTGGATTGGAAAATATAAAGTTGAAGGCTTATGCCTTGTTGGTGTCTCTATTTATTGGCATATTTCTAAGTTGAGAGTTTTGCTTCATTGGTACCACATGCATGTGCATAAAAACAAGTCGTATTTCATGTTGCATCCTGAGTTATCGTGTGAACGAATTAATTATGTCAAATATTTTTAAAAAGTTGTAAAGTGGTGATTTGTATGAACTAATTATAATATATTATTTATCATGCATTCTATTATAATGTCTGATATCCCACCCTTCTGTTTGAATGTTACCCATATGTTGGTAACGTGCAGGTAATCCAGAGTGAAGGCGATTTACCTTCAGTAGTTCGAGTCAGTGTCATTGCTTTGATTCGTAACACTTGGGGGTGAACGCTTGTTGCTTTATTGTTGTTATTACTTCAGTTGTTAAATTTTAAGTTGATTTTCGTTAAGTACTTGTTATTTTGAGATGTTTCAGTTGGATAAATATGTTATTCCCTTTTTAGTTGAATACTATAATTCTGCAGCGTAGTTATGAAAGTTGTTGGTTTCAAAAGATTAATTTATGTTGTTGTTGGTTCATCCAAATTTAATGTGTTATGTATCAGTAATGAATATCGTTGTTTTAAGTTGAGATTGTAGCATCCTGATTTAGTTGTTGAATTTTTATAACTCTGATTTTTATAATAATTGTCGGGTAGAATTGAGGTGTTACTGTAAGCAAAATCCAACAAGTTACAAGCAGAATATCATCCCCGTGTGCGTAAATGCACAAACAGGAAATTGTTGGCCCAATCTGTGAGGGACAGTGGAGAGCATGTTCACCACGTGCTCCTCACTCGAGAACATGTCACCAACTGAGCCCGCATATCTTGCGTGAGTGGAGGAACCATTATGCCCTTCTTAACGGTCAAGTTCATCCACTACATGTGGACTGAGGAACCATTATACCACATGCATGTGCATAAAAACAAGTCGCATTTCATGTTGCATCCTGAGTTATCGTGTGAACGAATTAATTATGTCGAATATTTTTAAAAAGCTGTAAAGTGGTGATTTGTATGAACTAATTCTAATATATTATTTATCATGCATTCTATTATAATGCCTGATATCTCACCCTTATGTTTGAATGTTACCCATATGTTGGTAACGTGCAGGTAATCTAGAGTGAAGGCGATTTACCTTCAGTGGTTCGAGTCAGTGTCATTGCTCTGATACGTAACACTTGGGGGGTGAACGCTTGTTGCTTTATTGTTGTTATTACTTCAGTTGTTGAATTTTAAGTTGATTTTCATTAAGTACTTGTTATTTTAAGATGTTTCAGTTGGATAAAGATGTTATGCCCTTTTTAGTTAAATATAATGATTCCGCTGCGTAGTTATGAAAGTTGTTGGTTTCAAAAGATTAATTTATGTTGTTGTTGGTTCATCCAAATTTAATGTGTTATGTATCGGTAATGAATATTGTTGTTTTAAGTTGAGATTGTAGCATCCTGATTTAGTTGTTGAATTTTTATAACTCAGATTTTTATAATAATTGTCGGGTAGAATTGGGGTGTTACCGTAAGCAAAATCCAACAAGTTACAAGCAGAATATCATCCCCGTGTGCGTAAACGCACAAACAGGAAACGCTTGTGGCCAGCACCGTCTGTGATAGCATGAGCTTGCAGTCGCAGGACCAAGTGAAGGTTCGCATCATGCGGAGTCCTTTGCTCCTCCTCAATGTACAAACTGACTCTAAGTCATTGGTTATTTTCCTAGGAACAACGACTTTGGGACTCCTATTTTGGACTGGGACTGACCCAACGTTGAGCACGACGCAAATTGTTTGCCCAATCTGTGAGGGACAGTGGAGAGCATGTTCACCACGTGCTCCTCACTCGAGAACATGTCACCAACTGAGCTCGCATATCTCGCGTGAGTGGAGGAACCATTATGCCCTTCTTAACGGTCAAGTTCATCCACTACATGTGGACTGAGGAACAGTTGATCCAAGACGATGAGCATGTCCTGCTCATCCCTACCTTAATGTGGGAATTCTAGAAGTCATTCATTATGGACCTGAACACTCAGCCCACAACAGAGACCGTTGGCCCAGCGTTGGGGGATCACTATAAATACCCTCATTTGCAAGAGGGTCAGGTATTCTATTCTCTAACCCTTATTCCCTTACCTCTTCACTCGAACTAACTTAAGCATCAGAGTTCCTGCAAGTACACCCCCACCCACTCTCTGTTAATCATTCACAATTGTAGATGTGTCGCCGACCACTTACCCGTTCTGATCATCGATAAGATCACAAAGTAAGATTGATATCTCAATTCCATTTGGAATTGAGGGCAGACGTAGTCATATCAATGAGGATTGGTGAACTTCCTACACAAATCCTTAAGTAATTCATACATATAGAAAATTCCTTTGATTGTTTAACTTGAAATTGCTTTGTTGATTACATTATAATCAATTAGATTGTAAGTGGTGTTTCATATAAACAAAGTCAAAAGGAAAATCTGAAAAATTGATTGCACACCAAGTGTTTGATACTTTGTTAAGTTTCATTTTTATCAATAATTGCTAAGTTTCATTTTTATCAATAATTTTATTGGAAATAGGTTATCATTATGATCATAGTAAAACGATTGATTGAGGTTGTATTGAGTTCTTATCATTGTATTATATTCCATTTGGTATATTACGCATATTCGAGTTTCAAATAACCAGTTTGATTTAGACAACTTATTTGATCTAGGCTAAAACTCCCGCTTGCCATAGTTTTTCATTCGTTTTTCAAAACAAAATTTTAAAAGGTAATTTTTACTTGGGGATCTATTCACCTCCCCTCTAGATAAGTTGCCACCGTCTAACATGTCGAACCACTGACGTTCTTCGGCTATGGATGGATATTTGTTTCGGGCTTGAGAGCCTTTATTGCTTTGCTTTACGAAAGTAATAACACATTTGGTTATAACGGATGGAGAATGTGTCTCTGGAATTTTCTATCTTTTTGCAACTTGGTGCATTTAATGATGTCGGCTACCATTTTTGGTTTCTACACTTGCTTGTTATTTTAGTGTTTCTCATAGTAGTGTATTCATTTGTATATAACATTTGGAGATTTGTTTGCGTTTCCTGGACAATGCTTAGAACTAGTGAGGTTGACGCCATGTGGTCAAACTATGTATTGTACTTTGCATCACAAAGGATTATTCCCCGGCCAAAGGTAGCATCCTCATCCTTGCCCACTGAGGTCTGACTCAAATCTAGGTGGACATCTTTGGGCTCCATCACCTACGTATTTCGATTGGCTATATCAGATGGGAGTGCGCCTAGTACGAAGAAGCACACTTAATAAGCCTCGAATGTGAGGTGTGTGTTTTAGTTGTATCAGAATCGTAAAAGTGTGTTAAGTCTGTATCGAATATGCAATAGAACATATAATGTGCTTAAGTCGTATCAGAATCACAAAAATGCATTAAATTTGTATGAGATATACATTCATGTAGTTGGTTCATTTAGATCGTATCAAAATCGCATAAATGTATTAAGTCTATATCAGATACGTAAGAGACTCAGAATACGCTTAAGTCATATTATAATCGTAAGAGTGCCTTAAGTTTGTATCAAAAATGTATTCAGACATTTTATTTTTGTTCTGCTGTTTCGCACATTCTAGCATAAAGAGAAAAAGATATATGTGTGTGTGGATTTCGCCATTTTATGATGGATTCATTTCCAAAGTGAATGATACACGCAAATAATTTTTAATACGCTCTACCCTTATGAAGTTGACCCAATTGCAAATTGTGATTTTGACCCAAACGTTTGTTTCGTGTAAACTTTTGCACGCAAAACCAACACTCTATGAGTTGGATTAAAGCTTACGTAAACTTTAAATATTAACTATCAAGATCAAGAGAAATTCAACATCTTAACCTATCCTTCTAGTCAAATACTTGAGCATATGATTCATTATCACATTTTTCACAGCCGCCAAATGTGTTTTCTATGGGCGATTACGTGCTTTACAACCACAACTTTATTAAAAGTCTTATTTTAAAAACGAGTAAATAACACTTATAATAAGATAAAGTGACAGAAACTTTGAAGTTATCATCTAATATATAAACAACTATACTTTCAAACCTTTTTGTCTTTGAATTCTAGTTGTAAGAACACACACCCTCACAAAGTTATATATCCATGGTAGCACTTTCAGGTCAGAAATTTGCAAAACTCTACAACAAGCTGGAGAATCATCATCATCATCATCATCATCACCATGAAGCTGAGGAGGAGTTATCAGCATCCCTGATGGCTTTTCGATCCCAAGTTTCGAAATTGATCCATGAGTTAGCATCAAATTTGAAACCTGGATCGGAAATCCTATCTTTGTTTTGGATTCAAAGATGCCTTGGAATCTTACCATTGATCAACAATGCTTTTGAAAAGCTTACTCTGGAGATAGATTATCCAATGAGTAAATGGGAGGTTCATTCTATTGAAGAGTATCTCAGCTACAGTTTGTGTTTGCTAGACCTTTTCAATTCAATTTCTTCTTCTCTTTCTCATCTTGATAAGGCTAAGCTTTCTCTGATTCATGCCTTGAACGTGTTTCAGAATGAGAATTCACCATCTTTCACTACAAGTCATCGTCATCTCAGAGCAATTCCACCTAGCTGTTTGAATACAAAATTTGGTGAAAAGCTGTGTGAGAAAAATGATAAAGTAAAGTTTTTTACTGGGAAGGAGTTAGTTGTTAATGAAGGTGTGAAGGAATTGAAGAGAATTGGTTTTTGGGTGTGTGGGATTTTGTTATCTGGTTTGTGCAGTGATGTTAAGCCATATATTAAGGTTAAGAATATGGTTGGTGGGTTTAATGGTTCTTCGATTTTCGCACTTGATTCAACAATCAGTGAAGGGTTAGGTGAGAAGTTTTTCGTGTTGAAGGAGGTAAAGGAGGTGAATGATGCTGTTGATTGCATTCTTGAGGCTTCAGATGAAGTGAAACATGATGCAGCTAAGGAATTGGAGACAAAGCTCAAGAAATTTGTGGAGGTGTCTGATGTTGTAAAAGCTGAGTTGGATGATCTTTTTTCTAAGGTAATGGACCTGAGAACTGACTTGATTGATCAACTTGGGAAAAAATACTAGAAATTTGTTTACTTGATTTTCCTTGTGAAGATTCATAGGTTCTTGCAACTTGCAAGTTTTATTTAAAAACGTTTGTGAATTGTATGATTCTTGTAAAGTCCTGTAATTACCAAATACAAGTGATTTGTTTGCAAATACTGTGCCTAGTTGTATAACATCTTTGAAGAATAGTGAAGAATACAACTCAAATGATTGCTTCATACACTAAGCATAGAGCAAGATGAATTTGCAATAAGCATATTTTTCATGAAAACTTAAACAAGATTCATAATTTAAGATTTTTACAGCCCATTGTCCCAAAATTTGGTATAAATTAATCACCACCTTAAAGAGAAGAGCCAAATTCTAAACTTATAATTTGTTTGTCACCTACAATAATCCTACATTTCCTATGTCATCTAAACTGACACTGTGCACAACTACACCTGCACTAAATTAGTCTCCAATTCAACTTTTCGCCACAACTGACTCTATGAATCATTAGAAAAGGTTTTTTTCTCAGGACTCTTCCTCTTGTGATGAACATCAGCTGGTAACCTGCAAAACAACAAGCAGCAAAATCAGACATGTTTTGTGTTGGACACTGAGACGTCACAGACATATTCTATATTCAATCACTTCCATTTTTATTTAACTATCATCAGTATCTGCATTGAAGTGCTGTGTGCCTGTGTTAGTTCTTCATAGATTACAAGTAATAATTTTAAATTAGGGTCATCAACCGCAATTACAGCCGCAATGGCAAAGTTTTTGAGGTTTCCACGATAACTGAAATGCAATTGTGGTCATGACAACCAAAATTTGATTGCAATATCAAGAATCAGGACATGACTGCAACCGCTTTTCAAGACCTGCACCTGCTATAGCAGTATTCTATAACAATGTTGACTAGGTTTGGCTTGAGACCATCCCTTACAACTCAAATCATAATAGAAGTATGTATATTCCATGACATTTAACTATTTTAGATGCAGGTTAGCTGTATGGTAATAGAAAAGAATAATACCCTAAATGCAATGTGGTGTCTGAATCTCCTTTGTCATTTGAGCAGCTTCTTGCCAAGCTGGAACATTTAACACCATTATCTACAAAGGAATTATTTCTTTCCACATGGTGATACTGAAGATAATTTGGAATCACATGTTCCGTCATTGGAAACAAGCACCGAAATTCCTCAACCTGGAATGTAATAGAGATTGAAAAAAGCACAAAGTTATTACGATTGATATATTATTCAAAAATGGAAATGCCAGAAGAATAAAATCATATGAAGAATATCAATGCCTGTCTGCGCAAAGTTTCATTCTCCAGCATAGCCTTCTGTTCCTGAAAAGAGTAAAACCAAACAATGATCAGAATCAAAAGATGTGATAGATTTCTCTAGCTACATAGGATAAACTAGTACAAGATAAAGCCATTTTTAATACTCAAATTGACACATCAATAGTTGCATCATATCATCACCCGGTGAAGTTACTTCAAACTTTCCGTTCCTTGAATTTTCCTTTATGTGTGATTAGTGTTATCAAATAGCAGATAGCGAAAAATAAAAGTATGCCAAAAATCTACCATGTGTGATTATAGAAGGAGAAGAAAGAATTCATGTGGGAGAAGAGAAGAAAAAGTTAACAAACCGACAAAAAAGAGGAAAGATGAAAGGAGCAAAAAAAGAGAGAACATGAGGAGAATAAAGAATTGAATAGGGGAAGAGAATAGAAAGGAAATAATAACCAAAATGAGAAAGAGACGTGACAGAAATTAAGAGAAAAAAAACAGAACATAAGAAAGAAATCGAAAAATATATAGCAGCTATTTGTTAACATTCAACCAAACTCACAAATCAAGAAACTATATTTTCAGTTTGCATACATGGACTGAATTCTCTATTAGAAAGATTAAGAATTAAAGACTAGTTTACAAGGAGCGTTTTCCAGTTTAATAAAACTTTTAATGTAAACAATTGATTTCAACAGACCTGTATCCTAGACTGCTCCAGTTGCTCCATAAGTAATTCTTCCTGTAAGAACAGATGTAAAGGATTAAAGGTCTGGTATATTTTTATGAGCAGAAACCACTAATAACCTTATAGCAGGATTTGATTTTGGTGGGGCGCATAGTTATCGGTTGTGGATGGCAAACCATTTCAGAAAGGCAGAAATCAGACATTCTGAGCCGTAAAATGCCATGGGGTCGCCATCCTTTACAAATTGCTTATAGCAGTTAAGAAATCCGTGGCCGCAATCAGCCATGAAAATAAGGGGCTGATATTTAAAAACACTGGTGTGGTGGGTGAAGAAAGACAAAAAATAGGGAAGTGTTAAGATAAGAACCTTCTTCTCCTTCACGGATAATAACGCGTCGTTAATTTGCTGCTCTAGAAGTTGCAGTTCCTTAAATCCCAATCCTGCTAAGTCCTTTCCCAACAGCCGTCTATCATCACAAATGAAAATGATCATAAAAGGTAATGCTTGCTGCTGAGGTAATGCAGACGAAAAATGGCGTAAGAAATGTAAGAAAATCGATAAAAGGCACATACAATTGATTTGTTTCTAGTTTTACAACTTCATCTTTAAGAATCTCCACCATCTTAGAATCTTCCTTCTGAACAAAACACTAGTCACAAGACATTAAAATCAAACGGAATTGTTCAATGAATCATCTGTAACTAGAATTTGTAACTAGAATCAAACGGAATTGTTCAATGAATCATCTGTAACTGTTACTGCTTAATAATTACCTCTGCTTTATATTCCACTGATGCACTCTCAGAAGAATCTGCGCATTTGTTGTATCTTGAAAGTGTTCGCTTCATACTGCAAGCATAAAACACATCAGTGTGATTAACACGAAATGTAGCATAACTAAGCTTAAAACGCACAATAAAGAAGACAATTTGAAAAACATTACAACAATAGTTGTCATTCATCAACTAACAGGCTCCATAATTTTCTTTAAAAAAAATTCAAAATTTGCAAATTCATGCTAAACACTATTGAAGATGGATTTAGCTTCTCCAAAGTGAAAGATTTACTTCAGAGGGCAAAGTAAATAATCTCAAACATCGATAAGAAAATCATCCGCTGATATTTCAACACATTCACGATGTTTGTTTCCGCGTTTATGAGCCATTTCACGGTACGGAAATGCAAACATATGCTTATTTGTTTTGAATATACAAATAAGCATCAATGGTTAACTTTCTCGCTAACCGGTGATGTTGTTCTTTAAAGCAAATGATCACTTTGGTTGAACGAACCAAACCCTCATCAAATACACAATGAACAAACAAGACATGGAAAATGAGAAGCAGTTAGTGCAAAGTGATGTTTGGTAGGCATAGGAAAACAAACACAAAAATTCCAGAATGAGTAAGGTCAAAGAATATCACAGGTAGAATACATATATATAAATTTAACACAAAACATAAAATAAAAAACAAATAAATGTGAAATTAAAATTGATCTGAATAACCCTAAAAAAATAAAGAAATCAAGATTTCAATAAACAAAAAGAAAATCTTGATACATGCAAGAATGAGCAACATGTAGAAAAGCACAAGCAAAAGTAACATGCAATGATATAGAAAAGCTAATAAACATACCCAGAACTAGAAAACTCAAAAAGCTTCCCTGTGTTTGAAAAAATGATGACAGCAACCTCAGCATCACAAAGAATAGCAAGCTCCTGAGCCTTCTTCAACAAGCCAGTTCTCCTCTTAGAAAATGTAACTTGTCTGCTATTAGAATTTTCAATTCTCTTAATCTCAATTTTCCCCCTACCCATCTCTTGATTGGCAAAACCCAGAAAACCCAATTGATCAAAAAAAGAGAGAAGAGAGAAGAAAAAATAAAAATGGTTCCTTTTATTATTTTGTTTTGTCTCTAAGTGGTGAAATAGCACCAACCCTTTTGGCCTATGAGGGTTTATTTGTTCTGCATTACTTAGGAAAGAGGGCTAGAAAAATTGGCGGAGAAGATAAAGGGTCTATAGGGAGAAAGAGAGAGAAAGAAAGAAAGAGCGTTTTTTACCCCAAATGGCCAATGCTTGAAACGGCAACTTTGCATGGCTCTGTACTTTTTATAGAGTTGTGCATGACTCTTTTTTTTTTCTCATACATTTTTAACATCATTTTCACTCTATTGGGCCTCTCTTTTTTTTCTTTTTATATTGCAAATTTTACACAGTTATTCAATAAAAAACGTACATTTTATTATATTATTAATAATTTTTTTTTTAAAATTAAATAATTTGATAGATTCAAGTTTTCTTATTAAAGGATCGTATAAAATTTTTTATTTTGTATAAAGTTTTCTTCTAGTTAAATAAAAATATATATATTTATAATTTTGAATATTTTTGTATTATTTATTAAGTAGTCCACTTACCTTTTTGGCTACTATTAATTTTACATCACTCTAATTAATATGGCTATGTCAAATGGATTTGGTCTCATTTTGAATTAGATGCATTTGATTTTTTTTTATATTTAAGATAAGACTGTATTTATTATTTTATATGTTTTAAAATGAATAATATTTAAAGTTTTGTTTTATAAGTCTAAAAATAAAATAATTAAAATAAACGACATTTTTATGATATTATTAATCTTATTATGCGTTAAAAATAAAAGAGATTAATTAGTCATTCATAAATATTATTTTGTAAATGATTAAAAAAGGTTCAATATTAGTAAAAATTTAATGGTTATGATGTAAAAAGATTTTTATATTGGTGATGCATATCAATTAAATTCAAAATAAAAATAATATATATTTTAAAATATTATTTTCAGAATTAAAAAATTAAATAAATTGAAATAAAATAATTTGTTATATATTAATAAAAAATATTTGACTCATTGACCATTTACACAAACTACAAAAAGTGTATAAATAGAAAAATATAGAGTTATATTTTTGGTAAGTATATTTATTAATACAAGTGGAAAATATTAAAATGGAGTGATTCAAATAGAATTAATTGAAAAAATTAATTAATAATATTTTGAAAATTTAAAATAAAACCTAGTATTTAGACATATGTGATACACAGAAAGTTAATGTTAATGATATTAATATAAAATTTTAATATTATAAATAATAATTAATAATATATTTAAATAAATTTTGATATCACAAAATCTTCAAATATATCTAAATTTACACTAACATTTAAGACGTTTCAATGAAAGATAATAGTTAGTCAATATAATTTTAAAAAAATTATATTCAATGAAAAGCATATTACAAACGTTTAAGAAAATGATAATTTCACATAGATGAAAAGGGTAATATAAAATTGATTGAGATGTAAAATATATTATATTTAGTAAAAAATACATCACAAACTTGTAAGAAAATGATAATTTCATGGTAGGAAGAGAATAATATAAAATTGATTGAAATGTAAAAAAAATGATAGTTGTATGGTGAAGAGGAGGATAATATAGAATTTCATGGTTAGGTGAAGTCTGCAGAAATTTTTTATATAATAAATAATTAAATAAAAATTGTATAAAAATAAATAAAAAAGATAATTGTTGGGAGAGATATTAGGAGCATTGATACATAGTGTACGAATAAGTATTTTTGTGAGAGATACGTTATTTATCCACCTAAAATCTTAAGGTGATGGTCACTGAGTTCTCTCACTTATATATGTTTAATTTTCCACATTCCTATCCAATGTTTACTCACACTTGCTATATTATTCCAACACTCATCTTCAAGTGTGAGTCAACAATACTCTCTCACTTGTACCGACATTGACATCTTACAACGGAACACCACTTCCTTGACACATTTCGATACAAGTCTCTTCCGGTCTCTTTCTCGAACCAAAGACTCTAATACCATGTTGGGAGAGATACTATGAACATTGATACATAATATATGAATAAGTACCTTTGTGAGAGACACATTATTTATTCATCTAAAACCTTAAGATGATAGGTGAGTGGATTCTTCTATTTATATATATATATGCTTAAGTCTCCGTATTCCTATCAAATATTTACTCACACTAACTATATTATTCCAACAATAATTACAAATATATTCTCAAACTTGGCTCTAAAAAAATTTAACAAATTTAATATATAAAATATAAGATATCAGTTTGAAACAATTACTTTTACGAATAAGATCCACAATTTTGAAATAAAGAGAGTAGATTAACTCAATTTATAAATATATTTATATAAATTACAGAATTAAAAAATTAATATTATTATTCATTTTAGTTTTAATATAAAACTTATTCTTTGTTAATCCAGTCCCTATTTGTGCTTTATAAGTACTATATTGAAAATTAGAAATATTTTATTAAAATAGTTTTTAAAATAGAAATTTATCTTATAAACTCTAATATTATTTATAAACTCTAGTAATATAGAGAATTAAAATTTAATAAGAATTAAACTTGAAAATTGTTGATTTTATAGGATTTAAAAACAAAATTAACTTGTGATCTAAAAAAATTTTAACTTCAATTTATTTTAACAATTAGATTTTTTATTTATCTCATTTTTTCAAATTTGTTGTATTTCTAAGAGAAAATTAATCAATATTTTTTAATAAATAAATTTTATAGTTTAAAATTTAAAAGATTAAGAAAAAAAGGCTGTGGACATTTATATTTCAAAACAGGAGTGATGTTCATTTTTTGAAAGCTTAAAAATATTGTTTTTCAAAACTAATCTATTAAATTAATTTATGGTGAATAATATTAGGATTATACTATACTATAATACACACTTTAACATGTCGTCTTCTATTAGTTAAAACTCATAAAATTTACTAAATTATGTGTATCTTAATTAGATTTTTTTATGAATGTTATCTTATAGTAAATGATAATAAAAGAAACAAATATTTAAACTCTGGAAATAAAAAAGTTTTTATTAAAATTAAAAATTTGAAGAATTGTCGTAATTTTTCGGCATAAACTCTAAATTATTAAAATTTCACTTAGATTTAGAATGCGAAAGAAATAATAATAATAATAATAATAATAATAATAATAATAATAATAATAATAATAATAATAATAATAATAATAATAATAATAATAATAATAATAATAATAATAATAATAATAATAATAATAATAAGAGTGTATTGAAATGTGTTATTAACACTGTTCTTATTTTATTGCTGTTTTACTCTTTCACTTTTTTATATAAACATTTTTCTTTTTCTATTTAATCAGTTAATGGCTGTAAATGGCACCTAGTTCTAGTAATAGGCATTAGCCTGTAACCTTATTTGGGGAAGGACAGTAGCATTATGAATAGTTTGCTTTTTTGGGGACTATAAGGTTTAGAAAAGTTTCCTTAATATTCATTTTTTTCCTTTCTTAGTACTAAAGGTTAAAAATAGTGGGCCCCTTGGAATCAATTCTTCTTTCCTCTCCCTTGCCACATCGAATACTCCGTCTTTCTCTTTTGTTTTTCCACATAATGTTTTTTTACTCAAAATTCAAAAAAAAGAAAAATAAAGTAATTAAAAGCAGTACCACATTTAGAGAGAGTCATTGAAAATAGGATATGGGGTGGATGGTCTTTGTCAATAAATAAAAAAGAGAGAATTTTGAGTTTCTAAAATTAGTGAGAAATGCCAAAAGTGAAGAAGTAAATGAAATTAAGGAAGGAAGGAAAAACAGTTACTACTTTCTATGATTGTCCTTTTGCCTTCTGTTTTTGAAAATGCAGAGTGCATGGTTCTATCGCTTTCTCTGAACTTTAAAATAATCGATGACTTCGATGTTCTTTGGACTTATCTATAATTCTACTTTCCTTTTCCCAAAAAAAGAAACATTACATAGAGTGTATCATCTTCTATCAATACAATATATTTTCTTCTTAATACTATTACTATCATTACATAACCTTAAAGGGAAACACGTAAGTCATTAATTTACTTGTACAATACATATTGCTAATTCATTTGTTTAAATATAGAAATAACTTATTAGAGAGGTCCTATCATGTGTTGGGTCTAATTCAGAGCTTCCAGTGGATAACATTTCTTGCACTTTAGCCATATACAATAGTTCTTCTACGATTACTCTATGCTCTTCTTTAAAACAAAATATGCTACTACTAATTACTAGTTTATGTTTTTCTTTTAATAAGCGTATTGGATTTTGTGTTAAGGTTTGAGGGCCAAAACTATAAGAGTATATATTTTATTTAACATAATCCGTCTTAAATAGTTTTAAAAAATATCAAAAAAAAAACTTTTTTTTATTCCAAAATTGATAAGTTATTTCTTCAAGGATTTTGAGATGAAAAATTTATAATTACATTAATATCAATGTTCTTGATATATTTGTGTTCCAAAACGAGAGGACATATCAACATGCATGGTGGTGATGATAGCATTGCAAGGTTACAATCACTTAATCTCTTTTTTTTTCTTTTTTTTTCTCTCACTCTTTGATTTTTTTAGTGGTATATATATGTAAAACTACGAAAAGGTGATGAGAGAGACGAGTGAACTATTGTTTTGCTTTAGTGTCTTTTTAATTGTCCATTTACATGATTGATTATCTATTTATCGGATGTGTCGCGTTTTTATTGAATGGGTCATCCGTCTCCAATATAATATGCATGGTGTGAGAAAAATGATTAGTAATGTGTCTACTATTCAATGTGAAGTGGAATAAATCAAGGAGAAATTAACCATGTTCCTCTAGATTCTAGGGGATTAATTGTTCACTCCTATGTCTTCTCATAAGGTTTTGCTACTTCTAAGTGGCAGAAGATCCATACTCAATAACTA